TGGGTCAAACCAAAAACCCTCCATGGGAGGGGTATGGAGTTTTTCTTTAACAGCACCTTGTTGAATGAAGAAGTAAAATTGATCTGACATTTCCAAGAAGTAAACACTGTATTACTTTGATTGGACTTTGGGTTAATCAAAAAAATGTTAAACTTAGAAACCAATAAAAGCAGTGACTAATAGAGGTTTTTTCCTGACACTTTACAACTTTGTACACAAACCTAGCTCTTATGATGTTTCTAATAATTTAAGAAATCTTACCACTTTTTTACACAAAAAATGTTTTCTTAAATATCAAATTTAAGAAGTAATTATTTAATGAATCAAAATATTTGACTTGTCCAAACTACTGTATTCAGCACCTTCTAAATACATGTACATACAAACTCTTCTTGTACAATTCTCTATGAGATTCGATGCAAACATATCATTTAACAACATATTCAATAACTTAAATGACAAATTTGGGGAGTTCTTAATTTATTAAAGTACTTTATCTAAAATATACTGATATAACTATTTTATTCATCAACAATTTTTTTATTTTAAATTATTGTAACTGCTGATGAATAGTATTTTTACTAGTTTTGTGTCAATTGTAACTTCCATCAGAGAAGACTGTATGATTGTGTAGTGTACAGTGTATTTAGGAATGCAAGTCGTCCTACCACTAATTGTTTGGAATCATTGGACGCATTTGGGTAACTTGTTTACATCCTTGTTGTCACCCAATTCAGATCACATGATTATTCGTTTGGGAGATTACAATTGTGCAATTTGCCACATGCAACTGATTGCATGGGAGAATGTGCAAACAGAGCAATAAATTAATTGTAACCTCCCAAATGAACCATCAGATGATCTGAATTGGATGGCAACAAGGAAGTGAACATGTTAGCCAAATCCATCTATTGATTCCTGTTTGTCACGTGAAGTGCATGTGTTTATGTACAGGTTCCCAATTAGAGATATTTGCACTTCCTATTAATCTTAGTTTGTTGTGATATAACTAATTTATTACATGTTGTACTTGGACTTGTGTTGTACTATTCAGAAAATAATCATGTTCATAATTTCCAATTGATATTGAAATCACTGACTGGCCCATTTGCTCTCTGAACTATACCCCATCTAGTCCAACTTATCCAAATAACTGCTACCAATAGTTTTTGTTCTTACATTAATTTTCTGAGAAAATTGTTGACCCCATGCCTCCTCCCTTTTCAATAAAGGGTTTGGGGCCAAGAATAAAAATGTTTTCGTATCATGGGGTGAGTTCACGGTACTTTCTTACAGAGCAGCCTCGCTTTGTGTATGCCCATTTTGTAGAGTGGGATTATCAATTCCCAGTTCAGATGTATTACTCTTGATACTCAAATCAGTGACTTGGCTCTCCGACTTTGCTCGACCTAACACAAAAGACAAAACACACAATGATTTAAGATTTCCCAGTTTCATCGTTGATTCCATAGCATTGTTAATAAAAGACACAGAGGCAATACTTCTTTGGTGGAGACTGGTGCTTTCTCCTTCCTTTTGTCATGTACCACAGGTCACCCAGGCTCATAGCTAGGGCGTAAAGATGATTTTCAGTCCGTACTGCGCTAACTCTTGAGATTTTCATTGCGTTTTTTTGTTTTGTTTCATTTAAGACATCTCAAAATGTAAATATTTTGCAACTAATGACATGAATTAAATTCAAAGTTTCAAAACAACCGCCATTATGGATGAGAAGCAGTCAAAGCTTTATGCTTCCTTCTTTCTCATGTCACTTGATGAAACAACTTCACAGCTGTAAGAATCAATGAAGCTGTTGGAAAAATAATTTGAAAGGCCTCAAAGATAAGGTATGTGGTTTGTAATGAATAACATCGATTTGCATTCCATTGAGTGACATTTACAGTGTTTATAAACATTTATAGGGTGCTGAGACTGCACAGTACGGACTGGAAATAATCTTTAACAGTGGTAATAAAATACAATGGCAACATTAGAAATTGTGTGCGAGTTCATTGCTGTTTATATACTATCAACAAAGTTCCATACAGACTCTTCTGTCGTCCCATTGCAGAGTTTCATTGACCCTCAGAAGGTCACCTGTATACATGTTTGTGTGCATGTGACTTCAATGCTTCCAAGCGACAAACAATATTGGATTTTGTTCCAAAGTAGAGTAAGTCCCCACATTACAAAAATCACAAGAATGGAATATGGCATGTTGTTCTGCAGTTTTTGGCAATTCCCTAGACCACCCCCCCCCCCTTTTAATAGGAAACTACTGACATACATGTTAGCCAATCAGAATGAGCTCCTTTAAATTCTACCCTGGATGAAAATATTTCACTGCTTTTAATGATCTTACTGAGTCGCCCTTCAAGTTATAGCTGTATGTATTTCCTTGATGTCGACCGGCCCTGTACTCCTCCCCTGATTTTAACTTTCTTATTAAGGACAGAGTCAGGAGGGAACTTCTTAAGAAAACTGGGTGGTCAGTCCATTCTCGCCCCAGTCTCTTGCAAATCATCTCGCGCATGGTGGGAGAAGCATTGCGAAATAAAACAGCACTTACTTGCAATTTTATTTCATTTAGGTCCACTTTACAAAATCGATTTAGAAGCGAGCTTTTATGCTAGAAAACGAGAAGAGTTTAGCAAAGAAAGAAATAGAACGTTAAAGGTCAGGAACGTATTAGTAACAAGAACCAACAAGCAACGAGTGTAAAGAACTTTTATTAAGTTAAGCTACATTAGTTTTGTGCGCGTGAGTATATCGTCAGTTAGTGTAAAACATCTACGAAAATTAAGGCGTATGTGCATTAGTTCCTGCAATTGATTAGTTTTACGCTACTAAGGGTTGGTGCGCAAAGAGAAGAAAAAATTATTACAAGTTATTGGTATAGAAAAGCACAATTAGTTCACACTTGTGCAATAGAGCGCCAATTATAAACCTAGATTTCCCCACTTTTTGGAAAAAAGCACTCAACGCTCTACTTAGGTTATTGAAACTTCACAGGTACCAATAAAAAATCTCGTTTTCAGAACTACTCTCACCACTTCTGCTGTGTTCTGCAAATTTGTGCGTTCACGAAAATTGTGTCTCTTCAAATGCTGTTGAGACTTAACATGGAATTAAAATCGGAACGTTTTTGTAAACCTAATCAGATTAGCTGTCAGACTTAAATTTATCCGAAGAGTAACTAGCCCTGGGTAGCTTTTTCGTTTTCCCAAACATCTGTAACTGTTATCTTTGCTATGTGGAAACACCTGAAAACGCTCCAATTTATTAAAAATAAATCTTATGCACGTCAGTCTCGCAAGCTATACTTCCGTGGAGTAAAGCGATCCAAACGGCCACTAGGGCTCGTTGAGCGACTCGCTTTCTGCCCTACCTTGTGTCTGCTGATAGTCATTGCCCTGGGAGCGCCAGCTGTTTAAGGACTTGCCTCGAAGGTTTCTCGTGGGCCTAAAAACCAAGATGTAGACTTTAGGTCCAAAAATGCACAGCAGAAGAGTTGTGGCATTTAAAGCCGTGTTTATGCTAAGGGTTATGGTGGCATAGTCCTTGCTGACCCCGATCTGCACGGGAAGAAACGCAACCCAGATTATACAAGTGGTGTACATCGCGAAGCCAATGTATCTCGCTTCGTTGAAGTTTTCAGGTGTTTTGCGCGTTCTGAACGCGTAAAATGTACAAAGTACGATGATTAAAACGTTGTACGTTAAGGCAAACACCAGATCATAATTCTGGATGTTGCAAATGAGCAAAACGTCTTTGTTTGTGGGATACGCAAGGACGGTCTCTGGGGGCCATCTTGCCAGACCAATGCCAGCGACAACGACGTCGATGCTTACAAAAACTGCAAGTATGGCGATTTGGGATGCAGGTTTGATGAAAAGCGGCGGTTTTGTAGAGCGGTTGCTTTTCTGGAAGATTCTGGCAATCCGATTGGTTCTGATAAGAATAGCCGCATAGCACACACTGAAGGAGAACCCCAAACCAAACCGCTGGATGGCGCAAATGGTAGTCGAAGGCTCAGCCAGTAGGAAGAACGAAAACACGTAACAGAACAACAAGCCGAACAGGAGCGCACAAGTGAGCTCTCTTCCTGAGGCCTTCACGAGAGGGGTCTCTTTGTTGACGTAGAATAAAGTGCCAATAAATATTGTACACACAATGCCCAGGCCCGAAAAGACCATCACCATGAATAGCCAGCTTTTGGCGATGTATCGTCTAGGAAGGGATTCACAGCCGTTCATCTCAGAATTGGGGCGTTGTCCTTGATTACAAGGTTTGCAGTTTGTTTCCTCTGTGGAACAAGAACAGTGATTGTTTGAGTGTATTTGGTACATTAGATAAACCACGAGCCAATCTCTTCCTTTGTCTATAGAAGTTACTTGCAAAAAATATATGACGATTTTAGTTTGGGAAAAACGAGTGTCCGAAAATAAAACCGTCCGAAATGTTTACGCGTCCGAAGTGTTTACAGTACAATACAAAACTTTTTAATAGCTCAGAAGCCGCTTGTTTCCAAGTTTATGGAGCGAACTCTGGTCGAGGCACTGCTTGAGATACTTAAGGCTTGATAGAATTTGCGTTATTCTTTTGTCGGTGTATCTGTAACACCTTGAGGGTACAGAAAAACTATCATGTTCACAGACGGAAACGTATTGTAGGTGTAATTTTACGTAAGCTCTGTTTCAGCAAAGTGTTCGTTATTTTTGTCCGAAATTGGTCTGAAGAGAAGTTAAAAGTGTCCGAAAATTAAACGTCCGTAATAAAACGTTCGAAATTTTTTGCAAGTAATGTAGTCGCGCTATCTTCTGCACCTCCCGTGAAACTGAGATTGTGGAAAATACCGTGCAATATTGATTACAAAGCTCTTTTAAGAGTGTCTGAATAGGAATACTGGAATCTCAGTTCCCAGCAAGAGACTATGGTCTCATAGTCTCTTGGTTCCCAGTTAAATTCTCGGTGATTTTTCGGCAATCAGTTAAAATTTCAGCCCACTTCACAGTTATCAGTAAATTTTGCAAATCTCAGATCTCAGATATACGAGGTGAAAAAGTGTCTTTTCTCAGCTGGCAGGAAACATCTTGACCAATTCTCAATTGTCAGTTAAACCTAATCAAGGGTCTCTGATTGGTCGATAATCTAGTGAGTATCCACCAATCCGAGTATACAGAGTTAGGTCATCAGCATTGCAGCGGACTATTTCTGTCTCAGACCTTTTTCCCGCAAGAAATGCGTTCGTGCGCGAGGAGAAACTCTCACGGTCAGTGGCTGCGAGGCAACCTTTAACCTCAGGTTAAATTTATAATTCGAACTGAGACTAGGGGAGATTTTTGCGCGCCAACTTTTGAACACCTATCCAAAATCTAATTCTTAGGCGTGCTCTTTGAGTTCGTGGAAAGATAAATCCTGGGTTCTTGTTGCGTTGATTTTGCGCCAGGTGCGCATACTCTTGACGTCGGAAACGTACCGCGGGCTCAGGAATTTCTCCAGAGACCCGAATCTGAGCAAAATTTCCAGCAAACAGCAGACAACAATGACAGCAAAACAGATAACAATCACGTAGCTAATGAGATGGTAGGAAGTTACCTTCGACATAATGATTCTCCTGGCAACGCTTACAAGTCCAGCAACACGATCCCTCACGATCAAACATTTTTTGAAAACCGACAGAGCATGGAGACCCGCAATGAGATGATGGAATCGTACCGTTTCTACTTCCGTGGTAAAGCATTGTCGCGTCATACAGTTCCTCATTCCAGGAAGCAATCTTTGTGTACTTCCCGCCCTCCAGACGATAAATGTCGTATCGGCCCGGGCCATTGCCGTTCTGATCGAAGCTAACCGGGCCAGTAACTCCAGTGAATGTCACGTTGAAGAGAAGATCTCGCAGATATTTGCCCTTAAATGTTTTCTTCATTTCTGGACACAGACCGTTCTGTTCAGGACAGAGACGCTTGTACATCTTGTCCAGGCCGTGCGCAACAGCGTATACAGCATCTATGACAAAGGGTACCTTGTCATCGATACGTAGATTGTGGCTTACGAGACTAGCATCCTTAGGACATGAAGTTCTGTTTTTCTTCAAGCTGCAGCGAAACTGCTTCTCCCAAAACTCGTCAAACCAAGGATTAATCCTACTGCGGTTTCCAGGTTTTAGAGAAGTGAAGTACGTTTTGAACGATGGGGAAGGGGCCTCAGCTAGACTAACTGTTATGGCGCCTTCTGCGTATTCCTCCAGTCCCTCAATTGGTTTCGTCCTGGTACCCCAGTAGTCGCTCGCCACCCATATGAAGCTACCAGCTGCTTTCTTCCGTTGCGCACCTTCGAGAAGCCTTCTCGAGTCGGTATCTGTGCAGAACAAGACCACTCCTCGGACGTTTGGGTGTCTAAGAAATTCAGAGATGATCGCCTTGATGTGTGTCTCGTCGCTTGCGCCTTCGATCTTGAAGGACCCCGCGATGCAAATATTCGCCGCTTTTGCGCCAGCCGTGAACTCTCGGATACCCCGCTCTCCATAAATCCCCTCGGAACTGACAGTAAACACGGAGGTCCACTTCAATCCGCGCACAACATCGACCATCGCGCGGGCCTGGTAGTTATCCGGGGGGACAGTGCGCACGAAAAAGTCGTACTTCGATTTATCACTGAGGTCGGGCGTGGTGGAGGCGTAGCTTATTTGCGGCAAATTGAACAGACGTAAAAGGTTCGCGACTTGAATAGAGACGGCACTAGATGCCGCACCGACGACTGCAACTAATCTGTTTTTCTTCGCCGCGTTTTCACAACTCGTCGGAGTGGCTTTATTTTCCAGTGACTCCATGACAAACTCGAGCGACTCTTCTAGCGCCCTTGTGTACCATCCACAAGTGTCGTAAGCAGACATTCCCAGTGTTATATTCGATAGTAGATTGGGGTCTTTGTTTATTTGATCGAGGGCGAAAATCATAGCTTCTAATCGGTGAATACCTCTTTCCGCGTTTAAACTTCCGCATTTCGGAGGACCGCGTTGCGATGCGTTTTTATTATGAATCGGAAACAGTCCTCCAAGAATTATATCTGCCTCGATTCTCACCGGAAATTTAGCGCTCTTGCCGAACAAGCGCTCTCCATCATGGCCGCCACTGATAGTCGGGTAGTCAGGCGAAGTGGCCACTATTTCGCCAAAACAAAAGCTTGACAAGAAAGAAATGAAGAGAGCAAAGTTTACTATAACACCTCGGAAGACGTTTCTTCGACAATGGCGTGAAGGAAACCCTTTAAAGTTTGCATCCATTGCAGCTATGTCACGCAAAGTCCAGTTGCTTTTTTCTTCAATTTAACAAACGAAAGGGTCGCCGGTTTTTTCGTAAAACGAGTAAACACCGCTGTATTGGGACACCAAAGTAAAGACACCTGAAAAAATTACACAAAAATAAGTATAAAACTAGGTCCGTAGACACCCCATCAATTAAAAAGAAGCAGAAAAGTATTATTGAACTTAAAATAACCTGAAACTTAGCAAAGTTTATCAGGGTCAACAAAATGCTCGACGACTGATACAAATGCCGGAAAAAGTTGACAATCATGTTATATGACTTGAGCAATTAAATAAGAAACTTTACAAGTTAGGCAATCAAAAGAAGACAGTTCTAATCATAAAAGATCCTCGTAACATCGCTGTTCTCATTTTAATTCTAATTTCTATTATGATTGATCCAGTTCAACTCGCTAATGAAACCAGGAAAACAGTTCAACTTCACTCTTAATTTAGCGTTAATCGGGGATCGTATTTATAAGTCAGATCTCCGTTGCTTCGATGGATCATAAAGTACTTCAATTAAGGTTACAGAAAATCACAGCTTTTTCACGGTCAAACCGATAACGACAGAACTTTTAAGAGCTTCTAAGCATTGTGATAAAAATTACCTACTGCTGTCGTTTGTTGAATTAGTCATTCCTCGCACGTTTATGAATCAAAAGCTATTTCCTTTTCATGCCCTTTTCGCACCCTGTGAACTTCGCGCATCGGACGAAATACACTCAGCGAAACCAGAGATCATTACTCTTGAATTGACCCATCGAAGGCTTTATAGTGCTAAATCGGCTTCTCCAGTCTTAACACTCGCTGAAACGGAAAGGGCTGGCTTGCTTAGAATTCCATACTTACATTTTAGGCCGTTAGCGTTGAAACACATGGAGTTAGGGGTATTTAACAGTCAGCACAGCTATTTGCAGTGCAGCCAAATACTGCTTTCCCAAAGCAGTCGTTCTTTGTCTTTTGATGGAAGTTATCTTGCATACGAACAATAAAATACCACTGATTTTAGTTTACACAACTCGTCGCCTTCTCTCTAATATTCGCGATTTCAATTAATGATCCAAACAGCGAGACCGGCCCGACCCGCAAAACAGAGCTGACTTGGGTTCGTCGAGACCGATCTGTCTGAAGACTGAAGGCCTCTTTCCGCGTACTGGATTTCTGTGAAAACAAACTTGTTTACCTGAGACGGACGGACCAATGTTCGGATCACGAAACAAAGTGCTCAATCAGACGGAGAGAACACACAATCACCCCCTTAATTTCCGCCCAGGATACAGAATATTTAACGATTTACGCGTTGTTTACCGATTAGAAATGCAAAGTTGTCTGCTACAAATTGATGATTGATTTCTATTTGCTTGGCTTTTACGAGGGCAGTCATCATGAAAAACATTTCAATTTGCGGCAACCAAATAACACGGAGGCTGCGGCGGGCGATATTGTGTTGTAATCAAAATAGACATTATAAAAACTGGTCTAAAAATACCAACAGCATTTTAAGAATGACAAATCTGTAGTTTTAAGATAATTTTAACGCGATCATGTAGCGCATTCAATAATATTTCCTTATGTCATCTAAGGATTCCATTTTACAATTCACGGATGTTTTATCGCGACCAACGTCTTCAACAACGAGGAAGTTTTTTTCAGCGAAGAGCTATTTTTCGTCACATTTAATAGTTATTAAAATTCTTTTAGCGTTGAAAGGGTCGTCGAATATTTGTGGTACCTTTAATAATTAGTGCGGTTTTGCCTCGTTTACACAGTTTTGCAGATTTTACTTTATAAACGATGTTTTTGTACAACGCTCGCGATTTAATCAAAGTATAGAAGTCTTTGCCCAGGACGCGTTGGAAGTCAGCAGAGAATTTGTTGCCGTGCATGGTTTAAATTGATCACTAGTTCCCGTCTTCCCAACCTAGGATGTTTATAGATAAACAAACATGGTCGACCGATGAAAAAAATGAATTTTTTAAAGGACGTGAGTGTACTAAAAAATCCTTTTCACCTACGATTTTCGTTTGGCACAGAAATACGATTTTGAGGGAAATTGGAGCCGATAATACTGAACCAGTAATATGTAAGACTACGCAAGCTAAAAGTCCTAAAATGTCCTTACTTGCATTGCCAGTGATGGTTGTTTTGAATAAGTAGAGCTGCAACAAAAGATAATGTTTCTATCTCCGCTTTCCATTCAAATGAAGTTGTGAAAACAAATCCACTTGAATAATAATTCATACATTAAATTTTAATCATTTTTTAAAAGAAAAATCACGTTACCAGCATTAAAAAATGTTTCTCTTTGATCACTTTTGCGGCTGATTGAAAATTGTTTACGAGTAGTCAAGTTTTGAGCCAACATGTGTGGATTATACATCTTCAACAGAAAATAAACTCAGAAAAGATGAATTAAAATCCACCGTTTACTTTCAAAGAAAGATTTTAAATGATTTGTACTTACGGTGAGATTGTTAAGGAAAGTTTTACTCGTCAGAGAATACCGGCGCGGTTTATAACAACTCAGTGAAGAACCTTCCGGAATTCAGAACGGATATCCTTTCGCATGATTGCAGAAACCACACCGGCGGCTATGAGTTTTGTGAATGTTTTCATTCTGTAAGAAAATTTTCTTCAATCAGGTGATTAGCAAAAACAGATGAAAACATTTTGCTCTTCCACATCTATGTTTGACATGTTTCTAACTTGCTGCATGATCTAAACGTCGAAAAGTTAATGGTGCAGAGCCATCAGATTTCGTTGATATGGTCCAAACGACCAGGTTGATATATATCCTAACATGGGTTAACATATTCCCAGTCTAAATAATAGGCTGAAAAACAGAATACTCACAAGAATATCCAAGACGCAACTGCTTTAAAACCTAGAATATAAGCACCACAGTCTTTCCCTTGCGTGCCGTACAGTTTGTCGGAACACCTGCGGTCATCGATATCAGACTTGTTGTCGGACTTTGTGGTCGTGATATCGTAATTGTTGTCAAAATAACAGTACAGAAGTCATTGTTTTCCAAGTGATTTTCAAGTGGATATGACATCAGACGGAGCCACTACCTCGTTACCAGGGCTCCTCTATGCCAAGGAAACGCCCATTAGAAATTAGTGTAGGTCCGGTAGGCGTTCATAATACTGTCGCGTGTTTTGACGAAGGAGTAAAACAGGAGAACTCGGGAAAACAACAGACAAACAAACTCAATCTGCTAACACCCTACCAAAATCGATCTCAGGCACAATTGGCCAAAATTTTCCCGCTTAGTGGACGTATTCACTACCTTTGTTGGTTGTCATGCTTTACTGAAAAAAGCATTAAGCAATAATAAAAGAAAACAAGGTAATCCAGTTTTGCTTTGTAACTGAAAACATGAGCACACAACGACTAGCTTAAAGACAAAACCGGGAAACACTAAATTCGAAACTAAAGCTCAGCACAGTTAAGCGACTATCTGAATAAAACACTCCGAAAACAAAAATATGTATGGCAGTTCATTTTACCACAATACCTTTGGAACCTAAACATTCAATTAGCCGACAAGGAAAGCCATATTTGGGTCATGCTTGTCCGTACTCTTTTGACAATGTTTACGCAAGGTTGGTGATTTTCTGTATTCTCACTACGTTCTGCTTGACACTGTATCGATACTGTAATAACAAATCGATCATTCTTGTTATAAACTGGTCTAAACTAAATAGCCAAACCCGGAGACGCAACAAGTGGAGTATATTTTTAAGACCTAGAGTTGCTTAAGTGCTTCTGAGCCATTTAGACTAAATATCGTTTTCCGGTTTTCCATCTAGTAAGCAATTTGCCTTAGATTAAGGCATATTTTGAAACAATTACCGCGTTATCACTTGTTTTGCTCAATTTATGCACCAGGAAGCCAACATAATGGTTGATTTGACACTTGTGTTATAGGCACGTTTGTCACGCAATACCGGCAAAATTTTAAAATCTGAAAAATCCGAAAAGAGAAAAAAAAAATCCCAGATAAACAAATTATCGTTTTTCTATACCACAAAAGTTAAAGACATGTTCTTGTATATTCAACATCTCCATTATCGAAAAACATAGTTGAAACTTCATTAAAATGTTCAGTATTCTCACTTTGTTTTCATAAACAGCGTAAAAACAAATGGGTCGGCTTGAATGTTTGACGGACAATATCGTTTGCACACCGCATTTTAACTCTCAATTCATACTATAAACAAAGGGATTACTGACTTGTTCGTAAACCGCGATAAGATATTTTCCTGGAGTGGTTCTTTAAGAAAGAAACGGCAGTTTTGCATATATCTGACTGGCGTATATCAAATTCTACGAAACCGTCTCCGGCAAATGAGCCAATAAATAATTGTTTGAGGGTTATACGTTTTAGCCCGTCTTCTTGACACAGATATAGGTAACATCAACGTCAACTTGCCTGGCTAGCGCCTTGAATCTTGTAGTTACAAGTTTGTTCCCAAGTCTGCTGTAAGGACATGAAAGGGTATTTCAATACAGCTATAGACCCTAAGCCTAAATGAAAAGTTTTCCACAACCAGCCAGCTCTAAATACCTTAATACACAAAAGCTTTGTTTCACACATGTGCTAGAAACAGCAGAGCTGTTTCGGTTTTCGAGCGTAAATATTCAGTTGTCCGTTTGGACCCGGAAACAGTTTATTAAATGGCTAGTGACGAGCACTACTTCGAAGAATCCTTCTCCGTAAATGTCAAAAGCGGAACTTGAATACGAGCAGAAGTTAAGAGCTCTCAGCTCCGCGAATGTATCATGTTTTTCAGAGATATCATACTTTTTTCATTGTGCTTCATCAAGTCTTTGCTAAACCGCTTCCTCGAGGTTCACAACTACACTTTTGACTCGAGATAACAATTAATGAACAAGGAAAATCAGAGTCGTTTAAACAGATTCACTTACCTTGAGCACGCAAGACTTCATTCGATAATAAACCAGAGAGATTATTAATAGTCACGGGCACATTTTTGACCTCGCTGACCCACTGTTGTTGAATGAGGCGAACCTCAAAAATGAAATGTCTTTTAAAAAACAACTAACTAGAAAGAAGTAAACATGTTTTTGTTCTGCTTCAGAGATTACAGCACAATGGGAAGTCATTATGGCTTTGTTTGACTTGCGGAATTGGCGAGCAGTTTCGGAGCGGAAAACCGTAGATCGAAACATGAACGTGCGGTTAGGTTTTCTCATAGACCTTGAGCCCTGAAATGTTAGATCTTTTCTGCATCGTAACCCTATTCGAAACTGCCTTTAAGGATCGACTTCCAAATACTCATTAGGATTCCTTGTCCGTACCCGTCGCCATTTTACACGTTGTTGTGAGCGAACGGGCAATGTTGTTGAAAGCCGGCAAGGGAGACGAAAGATAAATATTGTGGAGGTATAAAAGGGAGGTACAAAAAGAATTATTTCGTCGACAAGGTGAAACCTCTTGAAAGCCAAACACCATCGACAACCATTTTGGCATTGGTCCGACATTTTTCCTTTGTATCAGTTGTTTCGAGACAACAATCAAAGAAACAACATCATTCAGCTTTGCCACCAATTCGCGCATCGCATTTAGTCGGATTGGAAAAAATAACCGGTTTGAACGACCGCACACACGATCCTGAACTAACAGGATGGAATAGTGTTGTTTATTTCCTTTTTTTTCAGCCAATCAGGAGCAAAGTGGAAACCAGTGATGTGAATGCGGTTTTCCCGCGCTTGACGCGGGCTGCATGGCAGGAAGCCCGTGAGTCTTGATTGGTCCATTGGATAGCTCTCTGCGTCGGTCACTGGCTAGAGAGTACTTCTGGTTTTCTATTCATAGAAGCCTTGATGCCCATTTGCCGATGTTCTTGCGCAAAACGGTCTTGTCAGCAATTTTTCTACTTATTTCAGCAGATTTCGATCCTTGCACAGACAGCGGAGCTTATGCGGAATACTTTTCATATCTCCTTATATCCTTTATGAGCCGGTGCTCATTCCTCGCTTCGATATTTCAATTTTCTCTTTTTTTTTTGGCTCTTTTGCTGTGACAAGTTTTTAATACTGGTAGTTAAAAAGGTGAAATTCCATATCCCTCTACGATTTTAAGTCAATATGTATTTAAATATACCTTAACGATATCATTAATTCCACAATCAACAATTCGCCCGGCCCTGCTCTCTCCGGGTCATTGAATAGGTTATATTCAGAAAACGAAAATTGCTGTCAGTTTTTAATATGCTCTCGTAATATTCAAGGTGGTAGACTGAAAACACAGTTGTTCTACATCTGTAACAATTATAATGTCATGACGAGGTACTCGAGTAGCTATGCATTAAAAAAATCGTTGATTTACACTATAATTCACATTTCCGCGTCAATAACATCTTTATACCCGGTAACTGAGCTTAGCTGGGTTTTGGTCTCAGTTAAACGTAGTTCCAACCAGTTCAAGACTTAAGAAATGGAATAAGGTAAATTATAAACTGGCTATGCATGTTTTCAGGCGCAACATCATACAACAGCTATACAGCATTCGTCGACATATAGTTGTTTGGGTTCAGATGATTCGGCGATTTTTAACACATGCGAATAATAGGGGCTTTGAGTTATAAAATAAATAAAAAAATAAATAAATATACATTTATATATAACTTGAAACGAAGAGAATTGAGCACAGTATCGAGCAGTATACACTATGCATTTAATAACTTACCAAAAAGGGAAAGATTGTTGTCTATTTTCTTTCTTGAAAGCTTGATCCTCAGGCAACGCCATGCATCCGCTTATTTCTCGTGACATCCGTCAAGGCGGTGTCTCTAACAACCTTTGCTTCCTTGTTTGCTATTGTGCTGCCTGCCCACTACTTTCATTAGCTCGTCTGTTTACGAAGTCATCTATAAACAGGTCTGTTTTTACATCTGTCAGCGTAGGTTTGTGTAAAACCGCCTTAAAATTTGCAAACGAACGGGATTACATTAAATTGCCTGTCGACTTCTTCGTTTTATTGAAAAGTTGTCTTTAAACCTGGCGCTCGGATTCGTACTGTTTTAAATAATGACTTTCCAAACAAATTTAAACTAGATAATTTCTTTTTAAAAGCTTTCCTCTTCTCTTGCGAAAAAAGCGGATTGCCGAGAGCCTAAAAAAAAGCCAAATCAGCCTTGAAATATATAAAACAGGTGTCAGCTTCAGCAAAAATGATACGAAACCATGCAGACCTCAAATTGATCACGATTTATTAGCGGGAGGTTTTGTGCCAAGTACGAACTGTGAGCACCAAATTGTTTATGCTAATTTATGTGGGTAAGCAACTCAAAACAGACCCCCCGACAATTAATATGGCTCTTGTTCGTCGATCTTAAAACTCCAAATCTCTCAGTATTCAGCTTTTTTTGAACTAATTGAGTGAGCTTGTTCTACAAGGTCTGTCAAAAACTGAAATGTCTTAAACGTTGAATTTACAAATGCTTACTGCAAAAGGAAGCGTGAATATTAAATGTGAAAAAATTGCCAAGTGTTTCAGTCCCCGTAAAATTCCCAGGAATTTTCGATAATTAAATTCCCACTTTTATTTAAGTGTGACTCTGTGAAAGGAAATAAAAACATTTTCAGCTGTGAGTGTTTTGGCTTTGCCAGATTTCACCAGACAGTTGATTTAGTTAGGGCAATATGTTTTTAATACTTTAGCCTGAAATTGCAGTTTCCTTTCCTTTGACAGACCAAGCTATGTTTATTGACATTTTCTTGTCGAATTGTAAAGAGGCAGCTTTTAATTTCCATTTCAAAGACAGCGCGCTGAAGGAAAAATATGAATAATGAAAATGCAATTTTCACGAATTATAATTACATGAATGTGTTTTTCAGTAAGCGATAATGATAACAAAGAAGTTATATGTTTTTTCAAATATCTCAAGTTCAAGATGAATAAAATAAGGGTGAAAACTATTAGGACTGGACTACTGGATCATGGATTGCGGAACTTGTGAACCTGCTTGGGTATCTCTCTCCCAAAGAGGTAGAGAGGGCAAAGGCAGCGCTGAAAATTTTAGCCGTCTTCTAGTACTTGTCTCCCTCTGTGTTCCGCGGTTGTCTTTACGTAAAACTCTATCCAGGGTCCATAGAAATTCTGTGTCGCTATCTCCGTTAAAACATCGTACGAATTAACAGCAAAATGAATATCTCATCAACCGAAACAAAGAAGAAGAAGAAAAAAAAGACCTCCATGTGGACCG